TCTCCTCCCCCCCAAAAAACCCAGCGCTGTTAACATTTATGTGACAATAACATTTCTGCTTCGTTACAAGCAGACAGGAATTTCCGAAAGATCCCTTGGTGGTTTAAAATCGATAAGAGTAGGCTTCGGCCGCTACCTGGGCAAAATTCAAACTTTCCTACCAACTGAAAAATTTTAATGTGTCCCGCGCGCTCATATTACCTTATGCAGTTGCGAGCGCCGTAAAACACTTACAAAAACAAACAAACAAAAGGAATTTCCGAATTTGTGCTCAAAAATGTTGTTCGGAGGAGAAAAAAATAACATTTAGCAGAGCGTGGTTTCGATCCACGGACCTCTGGGTTATGGGCCCAGCACGCTTCCACTGCGCCACTCTGCTACGCTGGCTGACGGTCGTTCAGTTCCCTCCGTACTTGGGCCGCGAAGCCTTATCATTTGGCTAGTTCTGGGCGGCTCGGTTCCCGATTATTGATAGTTAGGAATCGTAGGAATCAACTCCGAATCCAATTACTTATTTTTTAATAATGTGATTTCTTCCGGTGGTTACCAGGTTGGCTCCGAGCATCTTCAGGGTTTAGGTTAACCTTGATTTCGGAACAGTACGAAGCATCAACTTTTATTTTTCAAAAATAAATTATTTTAAAAAAGAAGATTTGAATTATTTAAGTAACTGGTATCTGTCGGTTTACTTAAAAAGGAGTCGGAGCTTTTCTCCGTAGCATTAATCGTGGGAATCGGTTCCGGAATCAATTCTTCGCCCAGCTCGACTTATCATGCTTTATATCTCTCCAGACTGATCTTTCTGATGCAATCGTTGCGAGCCACTTTCTACATAAAGGGACGTAACTCAAAGAAACTGTTTTGATATTAAAATAAACATTGTTACGTCCCTCTAACAGACTAAACGTGTAATGTTATTTATTGCCCTCAAACTTCACACCCATAAACACCTTCCATTTTGGTAAATTTATATGTAAAAAAATTTCTAAAGAACAAAAATTTTTAACCGCCA